AAAAAAAGAACTCACACTGGAGAGAGACCTTATGAGTGCAGCGAATGTGGAAGGGCCTTCAGCCGGAGCACACGTCTTCGTCTGCATCAGAGGATCCACACTGGAGAGAGGCCCTACGAGTGCCAGGAATGCGGAAAGGCCTTCAGCTTTTCTTACTAACCTCAACCAACATCAGCGAACTCATACTCAAGTGAAGCCTTACGAGTGTCGTGCATGTGGGCAAGCCTTCAGTGACCGGTCAACCGTAATCCAGCACCAACGCATACACACTGGAGAGAATCCCTGCAAGTGCAGTCAGTGTGGGAAATCCTTCAGCTGGGTCTCCTCTCTCTCTGGGAACACCAGAGAACACACACGGGGGAGAATCCCTATGAGTGCAGCGACTGTGGGAAGGTGTTCAGTCGCAGCTCCTCCCTTTCTGAGCACCAGCGGACCCACACTGGGGAGAAGCCCCATGTGTGCAGGGAGTGTGGAAAAGGCTTCAGTCGCAGCTCCTGCCTCATGACTCACCAGAGAACGCATACCTACCGGAGAGAAGCCTTACTTGTGCAATGCCTGTGGGAAGGCCTTCAGTCAGAGCTCGACTCTTGCCAGACACCAGCAGCTTCACACTGAGGAGCCACGCTGAGCCTTACCAGGCTCCACAGGAGCCCCTGCACGTGCTCCTCACAGAACGCCTGGGTCAGACACCTGGACCACTAGCCACCCCAGTTTCTCTGCTTGCTTCCTTCTCCTCCTTCCTCTCACTCTCCCCGACGTGCTCAAATGAGTGATGAGTAAAACAAAGGGTGGCCTTCAGAGGCTCACATGCTCAATCTCGTATTCTGAAAGGCTCCAACCTTCGCACACACAGCTGCCTGGCACTCTGGTTTGTCACCTTGATTTTCCATAGGGCTTGAGTCTCCACTCAGTGAATCATGTTTCCCAACCACTTCTGACCAGTTTGGGATAGTGGAATTGAGGCAAATCTCCTGACTTAGAAAACCAGATTTTTCTTGTCTCCCACTCTTGCCTTTTCACCATAGTATTTTCCCTCAAAGAATAATCCATAGTTTTACTAATGTGCGTAACGAATCCTGATTTCCTTTTATTAAATACTTACCAAGAACTTTCTAAAAAATCATAGAGACATTTAGTTCCTTCAATATTTGGGGGGGGGTGCTTTCAGTTGCTGTCCTGTTTTTAAGAACTTTTATTTCCAGACTTCATGAAACTCAGAGCCTCTGGCTTTGACTTTTACCAGTCTGATCTCAAGGATAAACCCAGGACCTGTTTCTCAGTCCTCTTCCTATTTGACATTTGCAGAACTGGCACTTTTGGCCACTCTTCTTCTTTTTTTTTTTTTTAAAGAGAGAGTGAGAGACAGAGGGGGACAGAGAGAGAGAGAGAATTTTTTTTACATTTATTTAGTTTTTCTTAGTTCTTGGCGGACACAACATCTTTGTTGGTATGTGGTGCTGAGGATCGAACCCGGGCCGCACGCATGCTAGGCGAGCGCGCTACCGCTTGAGCCACATCCCCAGCCCTTCTTTTTTTTTTTTTTTTTAAAGAGAGAGTGAGAGAGAGAGGGGGACAGAGAGAGAGAGAATTTTAATATTTATTTATTTTTTCTTAGTTCTCTTTGTATGTGGTGCTGAGGATCGAACCTGGGCTGCACACACACCAGGCGAGCGCGCTATCGCTTGAGCCACATCCCCAGCCCTCGGCCACTCTTCTTAAAACTTGGGCATATTTTAGGATCCAAGATTCTGTGGTGATCCACTCTGCCTTTCTCCTGGTATTTCTCTGAGCAGCAGTGATCATCTCTATGATCTGGGGCAAGGGTGAGGCCAGAATAACTCATTTTATTGGATTATATACTTGAAGTAATTGAATAAGTTCCTTAAAGATAGAAAATTCGTTTTCAATTCATATAAAACATCAAAGAGAACTAAGTAGACACTGAATGCCTATAACTGTTGCTTAGTACGGCTTCACTATTCCCTATGATCAGTCTGCCAGACTTTTGGTGAAAGGGCTTACTTTCTTCTCTGTATCTCCAGAAATTCTACACAAGACCCCGCTCACATCCTGTCTCCTTTGTGACACCTTTTCTCCCCCCCACCTTAGAAATCCTTTGTATTACTCTCCCACATCGCTTTTTTCTGGTTTCTGGTTCTCTCAGGTCTCCTTTTCTTTTCTCTGTTTGTTTCTGTTTTGTTTATGAAGCAGTGTCTCTCTGTTGCCCAGGCTGGCCACGAACCCCTGGCTCAAGTGATTTTCCCACCGCAGTCTCATGAGTATTGGGACCACAGGCACACCATGGTAGGGCTCAGGTGCCTTTTCCCATAAGCTGTTTGAAATTAGAAATCATCTCAATCTCTTCTAAGCCCCACCTAGTACAAACAGTGTAGTTCTGGACTCTAGTTTTAATCTAAACAGGAGGGGTTAATTTAATGTTGCAGCACTAAGTCTTCACAGAGATGGTCTTTCACGGGTATCTTGGCCTTTGTCACCCTACCCTGAACACTAAACTAAGTCTTTGGATTGACCCTTTAGAGCTCCTAGGATGCTGGCCTCTGGGCTTTCTACTTCATGTCAAATGATAAAGCCATGCCTGACATAACAGGTGCTCAGCAAAGGCTGGCTGATGTGATTCCACTGCTGCACATCCACTGTGGCCTTTCATTTAATCTCCTGCAGCGTCTGTAGCTTTTATTACAGAAATTAAAAAACTAGAAGGTATTAACTGTCATAATAGGCAACAGCCATCTATTCTGTTCTAACTACATCATGTGTTAAATGTGATTCAAGACACAAAAAAATAGAAAGCTAAAACCACATACATAACAGCATTGAAGGAAAGAAAGTTTCCCAGGAGATCAGGACAGGTTATGACATGCCACAAATTATTCAGTTTGGGATGCAAATTCAGCATTCTGGCAATCAAAGTGAGAGGGTCATTTGCTAAGTCTGTATTTGGAAGAAAAAAAGTCAATACTTTAAAAAAAAAAAGATTTTCTAAAGCTTAACTTAGAGTTAGGGTAAATTTCTCCATTGGCTTTCATGTAATCCTACAGTGCCCTTGGTACCATAACAGTATGTCTCAGTATAGATAATCAGTATAACATGACAACATGCAGTAGATTCTCCAGTGGTTAAACATTAGGTTCCCAGTAAGAGGTTCAGGAAGGCAGGCACGGAGACTATTCTCAAGATGGAATGGGGTTGTGATGGGCAGGACATAAAGAATATTAGGTCATTCCTTACTCAGTGTCAGAAGAAAAGCTTCACACATATTTGAATCATTTAGTTCACCATATTATGGATGAAGACACTGAAATCACTTACTCAGGGACTAGGATTTAGCCCCAGTTCTGCAGATTCCAGCGCTGGTCCTCTTAAGCTGGATCTTGGCAAGATCTAGAAAAGAAGAGAAAAAAGTAGGAAATGCTCAGTTGTTCCAGCAGATGAACTGCACTCCCTAGGGCAGGGGATGCTACCGAGCCAAAAGTAAGAAGGGGGATTTGAAGTCACATAGCCAGATGGCAGCAGCCTTGAGTACTACACTTTTTGGATTTCATATTTTAGGTGATAAGGGAAATATGAGACATTTTTCATTGTGGTAGCTAGGTTGGGTTTGAGTGGGGAGAGTAATCTGGTAGAGGGGACAGAATGGCTTGGAAATGAGAGATGGCCAAAAACTAGGTGGGAAGCTGGGGTGGGGTGGTCTTAGAGTTAGTGGGGAATAGTAATGGACAGAAGAAACACTGTCTTAGTCCATTTGTGCTACTCTAATGAAATACTGGCAGGGCTCCCCACAACAGTCCCTCTTTCAACCACCCTTAAGGACCAGATCCAAACCTAGCCACTTCAGATCCAGTCACACAGGAAGGATGTGGTGTGCCTAGGGGTACATGTGCACAGGGAGCAGCAAGAAAGGTTTCCTTCCTTAACCTGGTGTCCTTTACCTCTGTACAGCCACCAGCACCTGGGCACTGGTCAGGGTGCTGTATAAAACAGGCTGGGTGTCTGGTGAGTTAGCCTGCCTCTTTAATGAGTCGGCAAAGAACCCACTCTTGGAGTTCCCATGAGGAAGTCCAGCAGAAGGGCTGGGTAGGCTGTTTAAGGAGAAATGCAGGGCCTCCTGGTGTGGCTGGTTCCAGGGAGGGATAACAAGTCAAGGTGACCCTCCTGTGCGCAGCCACTCTGCCGCCCCTGGCCGCCTCCTACACTTCCCGTGCACTGAGAGGCAAGGTTTCTTGCTCCTTTGTTTAGAACAGCTCACTGATTCCTTGCTTGAGACAGCTGGGGGTTGAAGTCCCAAGTGCTGGGCAAGGGATGCAGATGCAACTTAATGTGAGTGAAGTGGCTGCAGGTTTGCTTTCACCATTATTGCTCCAGATCTGTGAGCTTGCCAGCGCTGCACCACCGCCAAGGCCTCCAGTGGAAATGTGCACATTCTTGGCTTTTATCAACAACAAAACCTAGGCAATTTCAAGGTCATGTTTGTGGAGCTTTAAGCTAAATCCTAAATAAGAGTGTCCTCCCTTGCAGTCTCCACCATGACCTTCTGCAGGTTGAACAAGTGTGAAAGACAACATGTGAGTGGAACATGTTCTGTCAATCTATGCCTTCTTCCATTCTCAGTGTTTACAGGGCCTCCCTGTAGCAGGAGTCCTAGGTTAGTTTAGTTCTGGCCAGCAACTTACATTCAACAACTCCGGTGTTGATTATTCTAATACTTCTCTGTACCGTGAATTCTTTGATGGTGAGAAAGTTATGAACTGCAGCTGAAGCCTTTCCTACATTTACTACACTTGTCAGTCTTTTCTCCACCATGATTCTCTCATGTTGAATATGTGGAGCGGTTACTGAAGCACCCTCTATGTTCAACACACCAGCAGGCTTCTCTCCAGGATGAACTCTCTCATTTTATACAAAAGATGGGCAACAGCCAGCTTTTTGCATATTCCATGATATGGTAGTCTCTCACCATATCCATGACCATCAAAGTTTGACCAGCACCCAGAAATTTCCATACATACAGACATTCACAGCTTTTCTCCATTATAGACTGCAAAATGGACAAAATGGACAAATCCAGCATACAGAAAATCAATAAAACTAAGTTGAATGCAACATCATCATCAATCAACTGGACATAATAGCCACCTACTGACTGCTTCATCCAACAGCAGCAGAACATACATTCTTCTCCACTCACCAACATAAACCACGTTCTGGGTCATAAAATAACATTTAACTACTTTAAGAGAATAGAAATTATACAGTGTCTATGACCACAAAGAATTAAACTAGGAATTAATAAACAGGAACATAAAATAAAGTCCCCAAATACTTGGAGATTTAACAAAAACTTGTAAATAATACATGGATCCGAAAAAGAATCTCAAAGGAAATTTAAAAATTTTTAAGCTAAATAAAAATACATTAGAATTTGTGAAATAGAGCAAAAGCAGTGCTTAGATTATGTTTATAGCAGTGAATGCATATACTGGAAAAGGATGATGACCTAAAATCAATCACTTAAGCTTCTTCCTTAGGAAACCAGAAAAAGAAGAGCAACTTAAATCCAAAGTAAACAAGAAACTTTTTAAAAAGTTAGAAATTAAAGACAGGAAGTTAACAGAAAATCAAGAAAGCCAAAAGCTGGTTCTTTGAGTGAATTAAATCAATTAGAGAGTTTGAACCAATAATTAACAATTCTAAAGCAGAAAGCACCAGGTCTAGATGTGTTTACTGGTAATTTCTACCAAATGTTTTAGGATAAAGTTATACCAGGTCTCTGATTTCTTTTAGAAGACAGAGGCAGAGGGACCGCTTCCTAACTTCTCCTGTGAAGTCGACATTACCACAATCCAAACCAAAAAAATATATATATGTATTACAAGAGGATTTCACCAAGGAAAAAAAGTTGAACCGATATATTACCCTATATGCTCCACCATGGGTTTTATGAATTTATTGGTGAGTTTTAGAAAAGTAGAAAACTAAGCAAGCAAAAAGAAGCAATAACTACCTCCAGCGTATAAAAAAAAGGAAAATTAATTACATTATACAATGTGGCTCTGCTGGGAACAATATTTACATGGTCATAACGTAGATACCAATGGTGAATTAAACAAACCTCATGATCATCACTCCACTGGAAAGGCTGGGGGGAAGGATGTATATAGGAGGGTTGAGCACCCCTGGGTTGAATCCCTGGTACAAAACCAAAGGAAAAAAAAACTCCAAATGACAGACCATAACCTTCCTCTACATTATCCTCTTCCCATTACTCTTAAAATCTTTTCTGACTTCTATAACCCTAGATTCTTTTCATGAAAAAGCCAGATCTCCTCGGGATTCCTCTGATCTGTTAATGGTGCAACCATTCCTTCAGGCTTGAAATCCAGCCATTACCCTTGACTCCTGTCCTTGGATAAGATATATGAAGCAAAGATGATTCAGGACAAGGAGCAGAAAACTTTTCCCACTCCAGATGTCCAGATGGCGTACAGGAAAGGGCAGAAATCCAACTTCACCTGGGTCTCAGGGGCAGGAGAATGGGCACCACTCACTGCTCTGTGTTCCGGCTGACAGAAGAGAGTGCCAAAGAAGTAAAACTGGGGAGAAAATAATTGGATTAGAGAGTGTCCTGCCTTGGAGCTCCTACTTACCCAGTGAAAGTGCCCACCTTCTCCTCACCAGCATCAGAGATGAACCATGTACTCTGGCCGCTCTACTTTCAGGATTGGAGCTAAAATCAGTTCTCAGACTCAACATAAATTAACACCCTTAACATGGGCCACACAGTCTGTAGAGGTCTTTGTACTATGGCTTGACTCCGAAATGTGGCCGAAAGGTCCATATGCTAAAGTCTGGTTGCCAGCCTGTGGCACTATCCACAGGTGGTGGATCCTTTAGTAGGTGAGGTGTAGTTGGAAGGAGTGAGGTCAATGGGAGTTTCCCTTTGAAGTGGGTATTAGGACCCAGCCCCTTCCTATCTTTGCTTCCATGCAGCCATACAGACCTCTTCCATCAGACGATCTAAGCAACAGGGTTAAGCAACCATGGGCTCAAATTTCTGCAACCGCAAGCCAAAATAAATCTTCCCTCTTTTGGTTTCTCTCAGGTGTGTTCACAGAAACAGAAAGCTAACACACCTTGCCAACCTCCTCAGCTCCTCTCCCATCCTCCAGACCTCTGTACTCCTGCCAACCTAGTCTTCTCATGATTCTTGAGAGATGCCACGTGCCTACCTGTCTCAGGCCCTCTGCCTGAAGAAGCCTTCCATGTTTTCTTACATTTAAAAAAATTTTTTCTCAATCATAAATGGACACAATACCTTTATTTATTCAATTTATGTGGTGCTGAGGATCAAACCAGTGCTTCACACATGTGAGGCAAGCGCTCTGCCACTGAGCCACAACCCCAGCCCCTGATTTCTTACATTCTAAGATGAAGGTTTTATTATTATTTAGGTGTGGTGAGGCCAACATATTAGGTGACACCTGTCTTTAGAAAGATAGTTGTTAAAATGTACAAGAAGGGGCATGTTGTGCCATGCCATGCAGGGCTACCCAGAGCAGCACCAAGGTTGGTCCGGAGTGAGAGGAAGACATGGGTAATAGCCTGTGTTGTAGGTTGTGTGGGAAAGAACAGTAAAACAGCATAGACGACCTCAGACTTGGCCAGTATAACTTCTGCAGACTTCTGGGGGCTGTCCCAAGTTGTCTCCCACCTGGCCCTGGTGTTAATAACAGGGGAAACAGGGGCCTAGAGTATAAAAGCCAGAGGGAGGTGGGAAGGGGGATTCTGGGCTCTATAGCAGTTAGTTTGTATATGAAACACACTCTCCTGGTGGCCAGTTTTTTATACTTCTAGGAATTAGCAAATCTTGGGAGGGAACAGTCTGAGAGAAGGGAGAGTCAGCTCTCAATAAGGCCTCAAATACCACGGCATCAAGATCAAATACAAAAATATAATATAAATTTATTAAATTTTATTCATAAATATATTTACTTTTTCATCCATATCTCTGAGTTCAAATGTCATTGCCTCAGGGATGGTATCCATACTTCCCAGACTAAGACACAGTCTCCTTCATAATGTCTAGCTTATATTTGTTTTATGTTTTTCTTTCTGACCAAATCAAACTTTAAGATATGTTGTCGTTTTTGTCCACCTTTGTACTACTAGCTCCAAAGACAGGGCTTGGCATACAACAGTTGATCTGAATCAATGAATGAATGAATGTCTCCCGGCCTTAGTCACTGCCACACCAGAATGAAAAAACCACAAGCATTCCCTTTTACCTCTAAGTTAAATCCCAAAGGTCAGCAACTTAGAAACCACTTGACAAAGGACTAGTGCTTGGCAACTAGGAGGCTAGGTCAAATCCTAACTTATGCCATGAATAGCTCTGATGATTTTATCTAATCATCATCATCTCTTATAACAATGGGGGCCAAGTGTATTTTTATTATTAAGGATATGTATTATTCTGGGCTGCATAATATAGGTGTAAGTGCCAGTTAGTTTCTGCTGGATTCTGGGTTGAGGTCACGAGACTCCAGCCCTTTCTTCTTCCTCAATGCAGTCTGCTTCTATAGCTGCCACTGGAAATCCAGCAAGAGTGGACTGAGGCTCCCCGAGGTGCCAAGGGAGATGCACTGAGCAATTCGCAATCCGCCTCCGCTCTCTGGATCCGTATTGGCCGCGCATTTCCCGAACACCCCGCCGTCCTGAAGCGAGAGGGGCGTTCCCCTTCGTTGTTCCCGGTTTTTAAGCCTCTTCCGCGACGATTTCCGTTTTTCTGCCCTTGGGGACCGTTTTTTCCCCGCCCCAGCCGTGAATCCCACCTCTGCGCGGCTCTGAAACGCCGACGCCCCTCCGACCGCCACCTCTGGAGGATACACACGGCCCCGGCCGCAGTTGTAGGAGATGCTCCTCGCGTCTCCCGCTCCCGCCCAACGCACGAGGCTGAAAAGGGCGGGTCGGGCTTGCTTTCCCGGGGCCAGACGGACCGGGCCCCGAGGGTGGTCCCGTCCCGTCCCTTCCGGCCTTGCGGCCCGCCCGGCCCGGACTCGGGGGAATGCACTCGGCCCTGTGCACGCGGGGCTCCCCTCCGGTCCTCGGGCTCATAGAGTGCGGAGAGAACGGCGCCCTGCACGGCGGGCGAGAGCGTGGACGGCCACCCGGGGCGGCCCCTCGGGCCCCGGGGCCACAACGCCGCAGCCACTGACGCGTCCACAAGTCCGCGAGGCAGGAGTCGCGGCGTGATGACGTCATCCCGGAAGTGCGGACCAGCTTCCGGCCGGCCGCTGTGGGGGCCGCTGAGGAACAGTCCGCTTCGCCGGCTGGTCGCTTCCGCGCTCGTTTCTGATCCGGCGCTGGTGAATCTGCGGGGATCCTGAGCTCTGAGCTGGCCCACGTTTCGTGTTTGTGCGCCGGGAGGCGGGAGGAAGATGGCGCCCGTCACTTTCCGTCCCCGCCCGGTGTCTCCGGGCCCGCTGTGTGCTGTTGGGAATGCGGGGTGCCCAGGGTCCGACGCGAGCGTGGAGCGGCTCTGCGGGGCACTTCCGCCCCAGGGCGTGCCGCGGGGCCTGGCGGCCGCTCCCCCCGGCGGCCCCCGCCCGCTGTGGTCCGTCAGGCCGCAGCGCCGCCCCCGCCGGGTGGGAGAGCTGCGGCGGGGTCCCTGCCTGCGGGGACACGGTGCGGGGGGTGCAGCTCCTTCTCACGGCCTCCCCCTTTTCTTTCCTACCGTCGGCCTCACTTTCACTTTTGCATCCTTTGGCATAGCCGTCCATCCTAGGTGACTTAAAGCTTCTGAGGTGAAAATCGCACACGGCGACGAGTCTCCCTTTTTAGCACTCGAGAGCCGTCCTGATGGTGAGAAGCACGTGCTAAGTCCTCTCCAGGTGCTTGACGCTTGTCTTCTTTCCAGGTCTTGATTAAAATCAAGTGGCCAGAGAGGAGCCTCGACAGTAGTCCTGATATTACAGCAGAGGAAGAACAAAGAAACACACAGAGGTCTTGATTTGACTGGGAGCAAGCTTGTGACTCTGGCGGACATTTTGTGAGTTATCAGGCTTTCCTGTATAAAAACCCTTCTTTTACAGCCTCCCAGTTTTACGTGCTTTCAGGAGGACTGACATAAACGTACATCTCTAGTAATAGAGCCATTGCCTGATCTCTTAAATGTCCATGAACGGCGGTGTTTTGACTCTCCTGCCAGGTGTTGAAGGCCAAGTTGGTCGAAAATTAACCTTGTCCTTATTTACTGTTACAGAGTCGGTCAAGATTTGTCAGGGATCACTCTTGGCTCCTTTAGGTTTTCCTCTACCAGTTGTGCCAACTGCCAGGATGGGCCAGGGTCTTGCTGACCACATGTGGCTTTTCTTGGAAGTATCAGGGACATTTCCCTCTCCAATGACCCTTTGCAGAATGTGCACTGGTTAACTTCCTGTTCTGTAGGGTCTTCTCCATCCTCCTGGTCAGAAGGTTGGCTTACCCATCAGAGTTGCAGGGCCCTGAGCGGGGTCCTGTCCTCTGTGTCCTGGCTGACCTTAGAGGGCAAGGGCCAGAATGTTGGCTGCTCTTTCCTTGGCCCTTTTACTTCCTTGACTTTGGTCTCCAAGTTGGGTTTTAATCATCCAGCAGGTCAGTTTCACCAGTAACTTTAATGTTCATATTTTTATATTACCCCTTCCATTTAACTGGGTTTAGTATAAGAAGTCAGCCATATGTCCTGTTTTGTTCTATAGGTGATGACTCATTATCTCAAATTAACTCAGATTGTTCTATTAGAAGCAGTACTTCAAAACATTAACAGGCAAATGTTTAAAAAGTTCTATAAGGAAAATACAAAATGAAATAAACGAGACAAGAAATTCAGTTTGTATAGTAGCTTTGAACCAAGAAACAATTTCTATAATAACACTAATGAAGCTTTGGTATCTATTTTGCCTCTCCCAAAACACATAAATTTATCACCTCAATCACATGTGATCCTTTACTGTCTTTTAAAACTGTCTTACAACCTTACATGCCTTTTATAATTTGCCCAAACTCTTACCTAGTTTTGTATCCATTGTTTATTTTGAGATCAGAGTAATTTTTTATAACAAAAAAACTTATCTTTTGAATATAACTTTAAAGAGCTTAAGTTCAGCCTTCTTTGAAGCCATCCTAACATGAAGTATGGTGAAAGGCAGAGCCTTTTTTCAGGTGAAGTGGAGTTCTTGGCTAATCTTAAGTAAAGTGTTTTATTTCTGAAGTTGATCTTTGCTTCTTTCTTGAATATCATTTTACAATGTTGTCATATACTTTTTCCTGAGTCCATATGAATATCATTTAACAATCTAAACCTTACATCTGAAACATGAATTGAAACAGAAGCCAAGAGAGTGCCTAACTTTCTTTTTGTGGAAGGAAAAAAAGTGGCTTCCATGTTCCACATATTCAACCTTTAAACAAATTGGGCTCTCCTTATTATCTTCCAAGAATATATTTAAATTTCTATCCCAGCGTAAAAACACAAATTCTATATATAATTTATTGATAACAGTTTACCTTTATTCAGTTATATAACATTAAATGACATTAATAAATCCCTAAATTTGTTATTTTTATATAAGTATAATAGATGACCACTACAGGACAACTTTAGTTTAGAGCACAGCATCTTGGTAAAGTGTTCTCATAAGCTCTCTAATGTAAATATATTTCTGGTCACATATTTTAGGGAGCCAACTATATTGTAATAACCTAAAATAATATTTATTTAACTAGTTATAAAGTTATCATTTAAAAGACACAAACCTGGGCTGGGGTTGTGGCTCAGTGGTAGAGTGCTTGCCTAGCACATGTGAGGCACTAACTTCAATCCTCAGCACTGCATAAAAATAAATAAATAAAATAAAGGTACTGTGTCCATCTATAACTAAAAAATATATATATTTTAAAAAAAAAGACACAAACTTGCCAGGCATAGTAGTGTTTACCTATAATCCCAGCAGTTTGGGGAGGCTGAGGCAAGAGGATTGTAAGCTTAAAACCAGCCTCAGCAACTTAGTGAGGACCTAAGCAAGTTAGGGAGAACCTGTCTCTAAAAAGTATAAAAAGGACTGGGGATGTGGCTCAGAGGTTATGCACCCTTGTGTTCAATCCCTGATGTCCCTCCACCCCACAAAAGCTATAACTCTAATTCCTTTAAGACTTAGTTTCTTTATTTAATAAAACCTAACAGACACAAGAAATTATCTTTTTTTTAAATAAAGGATACAAGACCTTTATTTATTTATTTTTATGGGTATCTGGGATCAAACCCAGTGCCTCAAACCTAGTGCAATCTAGGCAAGAGCTCTACCACTGAACCACAGCCTGGCCCAAGAAATTATCTTGCTAGATAAGAACAGATCAATGTTTTAGACTTAAAATCTAACTTTAGAAAATCTTTAAATATTTTTTGCTGACTGTAGTAAATTACAGCCAACTTAATCATACACAAACATTTTGAGATTTATGTTCCACAAACCTTCTGCAACTTACTTAGACATTCAACTACTTGTTTACATTCTTAGTTTTGTCTTCTCTATTATCTTGGACTTTAGCACAAAAACAAAGCTTTGTCATGCAAAATACCTTATCCAGAAACATACATTTTCATAACCATAACTTTTTATATCTCCCTTCTTTCAGTTGTTGACTCTTAAATTTACATTCTGGAATTAGACAAACTTATGAAATTTATGAATTTAAACAAATTACTCCTTTTTAAAAAAATATTTTTAGTGTTGATGTACCTTTATTTTATTCATTTATTTATATGCGGTGCTGAGAATTGAACCCAGTGCTTCACACATGTGAGGCAAACACTCTACCATTGAGCCACAACCCCAGCCCCCCAAATTACTCCTGTTTAATAAGATGAACTACTTTACTATTTTTATAGTGCTTTAACCAAAACACAGTTGAAACATTTTTTATTCCTTGCATATAGAGTTACATGTAT